CGGGCCGGGAGGGGGGCTGGTGGATGGCCGGGCCGGGAGGGGGCGGTCGGGCCGGGAGGGGGGCTGGTGGATGGCCGAGCCGGGAGGGGGCGGCCGAGCCGGGAGGAGGCGGCCGAGCTGGGATGGGGCGGCCGGGCCGGGATGGGGGCTGGTGGACGGCCGGGCCGGGATGGGGCGGCCGGGCTGGGCGGGGGGCTGGTGGGTGGCTGGGCCGGGAGGGGGCGGCTGAGCCGGGAGGAGGCGGCCAAGCTGGGATCGGGTGGCCGGGCCGGGATGGGGGCTGGTGGACGGCCGGGCCGGGATGGGGCGGCCAGGCTGGGAGGGGGGCTGGTGGGTGGCTGGGCCGGGAGGGGGCGGCCGGGCCGGGAGGGGGGCTGGTGGGTGGCTGGGCCGGGAGGGGGCGGCCGAGCCGGGCCAGGATGGGGCGGCCGGCCAGGAGGGGGTGGCCGAGGTGGGCCGGGATGGGGCGGCAGGAGCCAGGGGGTCAGCACCTCCTGACGCCGCCCGGTCCACAGGCTTGGAGTTTGACCGCTGGCTGAACGTGCCCGGCTGGCCGCCGTACCTGCCGGACCTGTCTGCCGGCGACGCCCTCATGAAGCCGGCGGAGGAGCTGGCCCGGCTGTGGGCGGCCCCGGAGCTGGACATGCCGGCCATCGAGGCCACGGACATCGCCTCCTGGAGGACCTACCAGCTGGTGTACTTCCTGGACCAGATCCTGCAGAAGTCCCCCCTGCCGCCCGGTGAGGGGGGGGTCGAGGGACCCGCTCCCCCAAACACATCTTTATTGATTGCGGAGGGAGATGGTTGACAATGAGAGAGACTCACGGACCGGCTGCCTCCTGCACACCCTGCACTGGGGATCCAGCCGGCAGGATCACCGGTCGGCGCTCACCACGCCCCTCCCTCCCCGCCCTCTCCCCGCCCTCTGACCTCGGTGAGAAGCACAGGAGGGTGAGTAACGCCCGCAGTTACTCAGGAAGACACGCCCCCTCTCCCCCCAGGGAACGCGAGGACCCTGGGGGCCACGTACCCCCAGCTGTCGGGCGCCCGCAACGCGGAGCTGCGGCTGCGCTGGGGCCAGATCGTGCTCAGGAACGACCTCCGGGAGGACTTTGGGAAGGTCCGGGACTTCCTGCAGAGCCAGGTGGGTCCGCGCCGCCCGGCCCAAGCCCGCACTGCACTCCCGGGGTCCGCGCCCCCGCCCCCCGTCCGCGCCCCGGGGTCCGTGCCCCGCGCCCCCCGGGGTCCGTGCCCCCGTGCTCCCCGGGTCCGCGCCCCGCACTCCCCCCTCCCCGCCCCCCGTCCGCGCCCCGCACTCCCCGGGTCCGCGCCCCCGCCCGGAGCCGGAGGGGAGGTCTGCCCTCAGCCAAGGGCAGGGCGGCAGGGAGGGAGGCTGTCTCCCTGCCCGCGGGCCTGTGACAGGGGAGGGCTCAGCCCTGCTGCCTCCCAGCCCCCGGGGCCGCCCGCTGGGCACGGCCAGCGCCTCTGCTGCCCCTGAGCCCAGGTGGGAGGCCCAGCCCCTGTGGCTCTGGGTCCGGGGACTCGGGGACTCACACTGTGTGCGTTTGGGTCCTGGGTTTTCTTTGTTTTGTTTTTTGCTTTTTAATACATTTTATTGATTTTGTACAGAGAGGAAGGGAGAGGGATAGAGAGTCATCGATCAGCTGCCTCTTGCACACCCCCTACTGGGGATGTGCCCGCAACTAAGGTCCATGCCCTTGACCAGAATCGAACCCGGGACCCTTCAGTCCCCAAGCCGACACTCTATCCATTGAGCCAAACCGGTTTCGGCTGTTTTTTGTTTTTGTTTTAATATATTTTATTGACTTTTTACAGAGAGGAAGGGAGAGAGATAGAGAGTTAGAAACATCGATGAGAGAGAATCACCGATCAGCTGCCTCTTGCACACCCCCTACTGGGGATGTGCCCGCAACCAAGGTCGATGCCCTTGACCGGAATCGAACCCGGGACCCTTCAGTCCGCAGGCTGACGCTCTATCCACTGAGCCACACTGGTTTCGGCAGGCTCCTGGGTTGTTTTTGTTTTTGCTTTTTTTTCTTCTTCTTTTTGGTTAATCCTCACCCAAGGATATTTTTACATTGTTTTTAGAGAACACGGTAGGGAAGGGGAGGGACCGAGAGGAACCTGGGATGTGAGATAGAGGAGAGACACGTGGATGTGTTGGGTGACCTCCCGGGCCCTGCAGAGCTGTGTCCCCGGGCTCTCCCCTCTGCCCCCCTCTTTGCTCTGAGCCTCTGGGGGACCCCCTGCTGCCCCGATGGCGGGGGCGGCGCCTCCATGGTGCCCTGGGACCCTGAGAGGATGCCATGTCTGGGACGCCCCCCACTGGCTGGCCTGTGGGCACCGGCCCGGGCGACCCCAGAGCCGGCCACACGGCCACGCCCACGCGTGCACACATGTGTCCGTGTGTCCGCAGGGGAAGCAGAAGTACACGCTGCCGCTGTACCACGCCATGATGGCCGGCAGCGAGGCCGCCCGGGCCCTCGCCAAGGAGACCTTCGCGGCCACGGCCGCCCAGCTCCACAGCAACGTGGTCCACTACGTGCAGCAGATCCTGGGGTCCCAGGCCAGCTAGGGGCTGTCCTGTCCCGCCCCGCGCCGCCCCTGCCGGCTTCCGGAACACTCCGCCCGGCCCGGCCGCCTCCAGCCCCTCGGAGGTGCGCTCCCTCGGCGGTCTGGTGTCCGGCCCGAGTCTGTGACTCGTGGGGGCCGCTCTGGACCCCGAGACCAGAGACCCCCACGGCCTCAGTGTGGGCTGCTCCGTGGGGCTGGGGGAGAGCAGAGGATCTGTTCCCCGTTGGCTGATTTTTTTAAAAAAGAATATGTTTTTAAACGATTTTTTTAAAGAGAGAGAGAGGAAGGGAGAGGGAGAGAGGAAGATCCACGGTGAGAGAGAAGCATCATGGACGGGCTGCCTCCCGCACCGCACTCCGCTCCCCCCTCCCCCAGGGGGTGGAGCCCGCACCCCGGGCCCGTGCCCTTGACCGGGCATCGAACCCTGACCGCCTGGTCCCTAGGTCGACGCTCCGCCAGGGAGCCCGCGGCCGGGCCCGCGTGCCGGCTCTCGGCACTCAGTTCTCAGGGCGAAGCTGCGTTTCAATAAACCTTTCTACGCAACGGGCGTGTGAGTTGGAGTTGTGGGTCCAGGGGCTTCGAGATTCCTTCTCTTCCGTGCCCCCCCTCCCACCACCACCGTGCAGGTATCCCGGACGGTCCCTGGGGCGCCCTCGAGGGCCAGGGTCCCCGTCCTGGGGGAGCTCCCGCTGCAGCCCCTCGTCCCCTCGTCCCCTCGTCCGTCCGTCCGGGCTGACGTGTGGACGTGCCTGTTTGTCCTTCGGCGCCGCCTCCCGCCCCGGGGCCTCGCCGCTGACCTCACGGCTGGTGACCAGGCTCTGGCCCCCGGCCTCCACCTGGGATCTAGCCTCTAGCGAGTCCATCTGGGGGCGAGGAGGGGAGGGAAGGGCTGCAGATAAGTGTCTGAATGCTTTTTCTCGCTAATCCTCGCCGGAGGATGTTTTCCCGTTGATGTGGTGGGAGAGGCGGAGAGAAACATCTACTTGAGAGAAACAGCTCGATGGGCCCCGGGCTGGGGAGGAGCCTGCCGCGAGGTCCACACCCTTGGCCAGAATTGTGCCGGGAGCCTTTGGGCCGCAGGCCGACGCTCTGTCCACTGAGCAACCTCGGCCGGGGCTAAATACATGTTTAAGTTGCCTTTCTCACATGCAGGGCACCCCTGAGCCTGAGCCTGAGCCTGAGCCTGCTCTGCCCAGCTGCGGCTCTGGCTGTGGCTCTGCCGGCTCTGGCTCTGCCAGCTGTGGCTCTGCCGGCTCTGGCTCTGCCGGCTGTGGCTCTGCCAGCTGTGGCTCTGCCCGGCTCTGGCTCTGCCCGGCTCTGGCTCTGCCAGCTGTGGCTGTGCCGGCTCTGGCTCTGCCGGCTGTGGCTCTGCCCGGCTCTGGCTCTGCCCGGCTCTGGCTCTGCCAGCTGTGGCTCTGCCGGCTCTGGCTCTGCCGGCTGTGGCTCTGACCAGCTGTGGCTCTGCCGGCTGTGGCTGTGCCCGGCTGTGGCTCTGTCCGGCTCTGGCTCTGCCGGCTCTGGCTCTGACCAGCTGTGGCTCTGCCGGCTGTGGCTGTGGCTCTGCCCGGCTCTGGCTCTGCCAGCTGTGGCTCTGCCAGCTGTGGCTGTGCCCGGCTGTGGCTCTGCCGGCTGTGGCTCTGTCCGGCTCTGGCTCTGCCGGCTCTGGCTCTGTCCTTGGGGAGGTGGTCAGCTCAGGTCTCCCCCGTCCTGCCTGGGCTTGGGAGGAGCCAGTGCGGCAGGGAAGAGACTTGTTCGGACTACGACCAGGTCACCAGCCGGAGCATCGGGTGGTCTGTCCACACGGACCTCACAGTGCAAGGCCGCTGGTCTCCGGGCTGCAGGTCGGACGTCCGGGCTGTCCTGACGCTCTGCACCTGCTCATTGGCCCGGACCCATGTGGCTCTTTCATCAGGAAGCCCCATCCCCACCTCACAGCCCCCCTGACCTCTGTTCTGGAAGCTTCTCCCCCCCCCCCAACCCTCCCTCCAAGGCTCTGTCCTGGGCCTTTCCACCATTTCACAGCATCACCGTCTACGAAGGCATAAATCCAGGGCCCTAGGAACCAGGAGGGCACGGCTCAGGGCACAGGCCCGGGTGGCGGGCTCCGTCCCCAGTGGAACCCGGCAGGAGGCAGCCTGTCCATGATTCCCTCTCCTCGTGGATGTTTCTCTCTCTCCCTCTCCCTCTCTGACGTCAATAAAAACATTAAAAAAATAGTCCTTGGAGGGGAGGGGCAGCCCCAGGAGGGCCAGGGCCCTGAGCCCCGGGCGCCCTCCCCTCAGTCGGGCGGGAGCTGGTTCTGCCACATTCCTGGTGACGTGGAGGGTGAGCCGCCTCCGGCTCTGCTCAGGGAGGCCCCCCAGGCGCTGGGAAAGTCCAGAGCCTGGCTCCCCGCCCGCCCGCCCGGCCATGGGGAGACCCCGGACTGAGCCCCCTCTCCTGCCCGGCAGCTCCCAGCACAAGGGGGGGAGCCGGGTCCTGGGCTGGACTCGGTCCTTGGGCTGTGAGTCCGAGGGCAGCCGGGGGCGGGCGGGGCCCTCCCCTCTGAGGAAGGCTGCACCCTGCACCCTCCGGCCGCACTCGGCCCTGGGCGCCGGGGCTGGGCTGGGCTGGGCGGTGACGGAGGAGCCGAAGGAGCCGAGGGCGAGAGCCGGGCCACGTCACAGCTCCTTCAGGAGGCGGGCGCTGGAGTCCAAACCACCTTGTTTTCATTTTTATTTATTTCTTAAATATTTTTATTGATTTCAAAGCGGAAGGGAGAGAGAGAGAAACATCAATGAGGGAATCATGGATTGGCTGCCTCCTGCAGGCTCCCCCCCACTGGGGATGTGCCCACAACCAAGGTACTACATGCCCTCGACGGGGAATCGAACCTGCTATTCTGGTGTGGTCAGGCCGACGCTAACCACTGAGCAAACCAGCTCAGGCAGGGCCTAGAGAGAACCACAGGCTCGAGGACATCACGGAGCGGGGGGGCGGGGCCTGGAGCCGGTCCGTGGCCTGAGCTCTCGGTCCCACCACTTCCCCAGCCCCGTGTGGCCTGGGTTCTGAGCCGCAAAGGGGGGGTAACCGGGCGGCTGAGCGGGTGGCCGTGAGCCAGGCGATCACAGTTCAGGCCCCATCGGGGCGCCTGCCCGGCTTACGGGCTCCATCCCCAGCAGGGGGGGAGGGGGGCGAGCAGGAGGCAGCGGGTCCATGATTCTCCCTCATCATGGATGTTTCTCCCTCTTCCTCCCCCTCCTCCCTGCTCCTCTCCCGCTCCCTCCCCCTCTGCTCTGAAATCAATAAAAATACATTTACAAAAACAGCCTACAGAATGGGGACAAGGGGAGACGAACGGGGACTGGGTTCAAGGTAAACGCGAGGAATGAATCCTCCTCTGGCTTTTGAACAGCGGGCACCACCCTGGTAGCGGGGCTCCGGCCGGTAGCCGGCAGGGACACCGTACGGGGGCTCCGGCCAGTAGCCGGCAGGGACACCGGTATCGGCGATCTGGCCAGGAGAGGGCAGCAGAGGTGCTGTGATCGGCAGGGGAACCGCACCGAAGAGACTGCAGACCGGGTGACGCGGTGACGGTGACGGCGACGGTGGAGGGGGACTGAATGCAGCCCGCGGTTCCTGCCGTCCGCGCCCGGACTGCGGGCTGGGGGCGGGCCGCGGGGCTGGCCTGGGCAGACGGCTACTCTGGTTCTGCTGCCTGGAGGGTTCTGGCCGGCGGGGAAAACGGTGTCGGCAAACGGGCCCTCGGGCTCCTGGGGAGCCTGTCCCGGGCGCCTGAGCCCCGGGTCCTCTCCCCACGGCCCCCCAGACCCCCAGAGGCTGCCCCTCGCAGCCCCTCCCCCCGAGGCCCGGGGTCTGGGCCGTGGCCCCTCCCCGCCCTCCGGCCGCCGCTGCCCAGTGCCCGTGCCAGCCGGGGGGCGCGGGCGGCCGCCTGGCAATCATTAAACCGGCCCGGCCTGACTTCCCAGCATCCCGGGTCGGGGCCGGGCCGAGTGGCACCGAGTATGCAAATCCCCGGGTGCCGGTCCAATGAGCGCGGCCGGCGGCCCTCGCCGGAGGCGCGGGGCGGGGCTCCGGCCTATTTAGGTGCCGCGCCCGCCCCACCTGCCCAGGTCGCTCAGTCCTGCCTCCTCCACCGTCGGCGCCCGCGCCCGCCAGCTGTGCCCGTACCGCCCGCCGCCCCGGTACCGCCCGCCACCTCGGTAGGTCCCACCTGGGCCTGGGCCGGGAGAGCCCGGCGGCCTGCAGGTCCGGGTCCGAGAGCTGGAGGGAGGGGTGGCCGGGGTACGGGAGCCATGACATTGTCAGCCCCACACAAGCGCCCAGGTGACCGGGGACTGGTGACCGGGGACGGGGACGGGGACGGGGACGGGGACGGGGTCGGGGACGGGGGGGGGGGGGGACAGGGACGGGGGGGGGGGACGGGGGGGGGACGGGGACGGGGACGGGGGACGGGGACGGGGGACGGGGACAGGGATGGGGTGGGGGGGTGACCGGGACGGGGGACGGGGACGGGGTGAGGGGGGACAGGGACGGGGACGGGGACGGGGTGAGGGGGGACAGGGACGGGGACGGGACGGGGACGGGACGGGGACGGGGTGGGGGGGGACGGGGACGGGGACGGGGGACGGGGGACGGGGTCGGGGACGGGGACGGGGTCGGGGTCGGGGACGGGGACGGGGACGGGGACGGGGACGGGGGACGGGGACGGGGACGGGGGACGGGGACAGGGATGGGGTGGGGGGGTGACCGGGACGGGGGACGGGGACGGGGGGGGGGACAGGGACGGGGACGGGGGGAGGGGGACAGGGACGGGGACAGGGACGGGGGGGGGGACAGGGACGGGGACGGGGTGAGGGGGGACAGGGACGGGGACGGGGACACTGACGGGGACGGGGACAGGGACGGGGACGGGGTCGGGGGCGGGACGGGGACGGGGACGGGGGGGGGGCGACAGGGACAGGGACGGGGGACGGGGTCGGGGACGGGGGTCGGGGACGGGGTGGGGGGTTACCGGGACGGGGGACGGGGACGGGGACGGGGTGGGGGGTGACCGGGATGGGGGACGGGGACGGGGATGTGGGACGGGGATGGGGACGGGGGATGGGGACGGGGACGGGGACGGGGGGGTGACCGGGACTGGGGACGGGGACGGGGGACAGGGACGGGGATGGGGGACGGGGACGGGGACGGGGACGGGGGGGTGACCGGGACTGGGGTCAGGGACGGGGATGGGGACGGGGATGGGGGACGGGGACGGGGACGGGGACGGGGACAGGGATAGGGTCGGGGCCGGGGGCCGGGGCCGGGGGACAGGGACGGGGACGGGGACGGGGGATGGGGACAGGACCCCGGACCGGGGACAGGGACAGGCCCGCCCTCACCGCCCACGCCCCCAGGAGCTCATGGCCGCAGCCTGTGAGATCAGCAACGTGTTCAGCAACTACTTCAGCGCCATGTACAGCCCGGACGAGCCCGCCCCGGCCCCGGCCCCGGCCCCCCTGCCGCCCGCCGACCTCGCAGAGCCCCTGAGCCCCCCGATGCCGCCCGAGGGCCCAGGTGGGTCTGGAGGGGGCGCTGTGGAGCGGGGACCCCTGAGGCCGGGTGGCGTGGGGTCGGCAGAGGGAGCTGCTCCTGCTGGGGCGTGGCGGCTGCTCAAGGCGCAAACCCCTGTCCCGGGAGGGGCTCCTCATGGCCCTGCCCCGTGAGGGCGCACCCGTCCTGTCCCCCTCCTGTCCGGGGTGGGGGGTCCGTGTGGCGGGGGGGGACCCGCTGGAGGTGGTGGTGCCCGGTGAGGGCGCACCCGTCCTGCCCCCCTCCTGTCCGGGGTGGGGGGTCCGTGGGGCGGGGGGGGGACCTGCTGGAGGTGACGGTGCCGGGTGAGAGTTCACACCCGTCCTGCCCCCCTCCTGTCCGGGGTGGGGGGTCTGCGTGGTGGTGGGAGACCCGCTGGAGGTGACGGTGCCCCGTGAGGGCGCACCCCGTCCTGTCCCCCTCCTGTCCGGGGTGGGGGGTCCGTGTGGTGGTGGGAGACCCGCTGGAGGTGGTGGTGCCGGGTGAGGGCGCACACCCGTCCTGTCCCCCTCCTGTCCGGGGTGGGGGGGTCCGTGGGGCGGGGGGAGACCCGCTGGAGGTGACGGTGCCGGGTGAGGGTGCACACCCGTCCTGTCCCCCTCCTGTCCGGGGTGGGGGGTCCGTGGGGCGGGGGGGGACCCGCTGGAGGTGGTGGTGCCCGGTGAGGGTGCACACCCGTCCTGTCCCCCTCCTGTCCGGGGTGGGGGGGTCCGTGTGGCCGGGGGGGACCCGTTGGAGGTGACGGTGCCGGGTGGGGGTGCACACCCGTCCTGTCCCCCTCCTGTCCGGGGTGGGGGGTCCGTGGGGCGGGGGGGGACCCGCTGGAGGTGGTGGTGCCGGGTGAGGGCGTGCACCCCATCCTGTCCTGGGGTCCGGGGTGGCGGCTGACCCTCGCCCCCCATCCCCCAGAGAAGGCCAGCTGGTCGCGGGAGCAGCCCCAGTTCTGGTCGCAGGCGCAGGTGCTGGACTGGGTCAGCTACCAGGTGGAGAAGCACCAGCTGGACGCCAGCACCATCGACTTCTCTCGCTGCAACATGGATGGGGCCACGCTCTGCCGCTGCGCGCCCGAGGACCTACGGTGCGCCTTCGGGCCGCTGGGCGACCAGCTGTACGCCCAGCTCTGGGACCTCAGTGAGTGCGCGGGCCGGGGGGGGGGACCTCAGTGAGTGCGCGGGCCGGGGGGACCCCAGTGAGTGCGGGGGCCGGGGGGGACCCCAGTGAGTGTGCGGGGGCCGGGGGGGACCCCAGTGAGTGCGGGGGCCGGGGGGGACCCCAGTGAGTGTGCGGGCCGGGGGGACCCCCAGAGAGTGTGCGGGGGCCGGGGGGACCCCAGTGAGTGTGCGGGCCGGGGGGACCCCCAGTGAGTGTGCGGGGGCCGGGGGGGACCCCAGTGAGTGTGCGGGGGCCGGGGGGACCCCAGTGAGTGCGCGGGGGCCGGGGGGACCCCAGTGAGTGTGCGGGGGCCGGGGGGGGACCTCAGTGAGTGCGGGGGCCGGGGGGACCCCAGTGAGTGTGCGGGCCGGGGGGACCCCAGTGAGTGCGGGGGCCGGGGGGACCCCAGTGAGTGTGCGGGGGCCGGGGGGGACCCCAGTGAGTGTGCGGGGGCCGGGGGGGACCCCAGTGAGTGCGGGGGCCGGGGGGGACCCCAGTGAGTGTGCGGGGGCCGGGGGGACCCCAGTGAGTGCGGGGGCCAGGGGGGACCCCAGTGAGTGCGCGGGGGCCGGGGGGACCCCAGTGAGTGCGCGGGCCGGGGGGGACCCCAGTGAGTGTGCGGGGGCCGGGGGGGACCCCAGTGAGTGTGTGGGGGCCGGGGGGGACCCCAGTGAGTGCGGGGGCCGGGGGGACCTCAGTGAGTGCGGGGGCCGGGGGGACCTCAGTGAGTGCGGGGGCCGGGGGGGACCCCAGTGAGTGTGCGGGGGCCGGGGGGGACCCCAGTGAGTGTGCGGGCTGGGGGGGACCCCAGTGAGTGTGCGGGGGCCGGGGGGGACCCCAGTGAGTGTGCGGGGGCCGGGGGGGACCTCAGTGAGTGCGGGGGCCGGGGTACCCCAGTGAGTGTGCGGGGGCCGGGGGGGACCTCAGTGAGTGTGCGGGGGCCGGGGGGGACCCCAGTGAGTGTGCGGGGGCCGGGAGGACCCCAGTGAGTGTGCGGGGGCCGGGGGGGGGACCCCAGTGAGTGTGCGGGGGCCGGGGGGGGGACCCCAGTGAGTGTGCGGGGGCCGGGGGGACCCCAGTGAGTGTGCGGGGGCCGGGGGGGACCCCAGTGAGTGTGCGGGGGCCGGGGGGGGGACCCCAGTCAGTGTGCGGGGGCCGGGGGGGACCTCAGTGAGTGTGCGGGGGCCGGGGGGGACCTCAGTGAGTGTGCGGGGGCCGGGGGGGGGTCCCCGGGCTGGGGCCACGGGAGGGGGGCTGCTCTCAGTCTGGGAGGCTGGGGGGGGTGTCCCTGAGTCCGGGCCCCAGGGGATTGTGGGTGCCGGGATCGGGGGTGCTGGGATCGGGGGTGCCGGGATCGAGGGTGCCGGGATCGGGGGTGCTGGGATCGGGGGTGCCGGGATCGGGGGTGCCGGGATTGGGGGTGCCGGGATCGGGGGTGCCGGGATAGAGGGTGCCAGAATCGGGGGTGCCGGGATCGAGGGCATGGGCGGCCCCATGGAGCCCCCAGGGGAGGGAGGGGCAGCGGGGCCCTGACCTGCCTCCCCCTCAGTGTCCAGCCCCAGCCTCCCGGACGAGCTCAGCTGGATCATCGACCTCCTGGAGCAGGACAGCCCCTCCTTCCAGGACTCGCTGGTGGACCCCGGCCCCTTCGGTGAGCGCCCGCCGTCTCCCCGCCCCCCACCCCCTTCGGTGAGCCCGTCTCCCGGCCGACCTCCCCACTGACCTCTCTGCCCGCCCCGCCCCGCCCTGCCCCTGCCCCCCGGCCCTTCGGTGAGTGCCCTCCGGTCTCCCTGCCCGCCCGCCCCCGGCCCTGTCCCCCGCCGGCCGGCCGGCCGGTCAGCGGGTCACTGGTCAGCGGCCCCGCCCGCCCCGCCCGCTCCTCCCCGGCCTGAGCCCTCCTCCTCCTCCTCCTCCCAGACCAGGGCAGCCCCTTCGGCCCGGAGACGCCGGAGGACGGCCGGCAGCCCAGCCCCTGCCTCTCGGGCGGCTACGGCGCGGGCACCCCCTCCCCGGGCAGCTCGGACGGCTCCCCCGGCTCCACCGCAGGTGAGGGTCCCCCCGTGTCCCCGTGTCCCCCCTTTACCCCCCCGTGTCCCCTCTTTACCCCCCGTGTCCCCGTGTCCCCCCCTTTACCCCCCGTGTCCCCGTGTCCCCCCCTTTACCCCCCGTGTTCCCCCCTTTACCCCCCCGTGTCCCCGTGTCCCCCTCTTTACCCTCCCGTGTCCCCGTGTCCCCCCCTTTACCCCCTGTGTCCCCGTGTCCCCCCCTTTACCCCCCGTGTCCCCGTGTCCCCCCCTTTACCCCCCCGTGTCCCCATGTCCCCCCCCTGTGTCCCCGTGTCCCCCCCTTTACCCCCACGTGTCCCCGTGTCCCCCCCCGTGTCCCTGTGTCCCCCCCTTTACCCCCCGTGTCCCCCCCTTTACTCCCCCGTGTCCCTGTGTCCCCCCCTTTACCCCCCGTGTCCCCGTGTCCCCCTCTTTACCCCCGTGTCCCCCCCTTTACCCCCCCATGTCCCCCCTTTACCTCCCCCGTGTCCCCGCCCTCGGCTCCCGGCTCCCGGCTCTGCCAGGGCCCGGCTGGCTGGGCAGCGTGTCCGCGGCCGCGGAGCGAGTGGGCGAGCGGGACTCACTCGGACCCCCCCCCCAGGGACCTGCGCCTCCGGGTGCTCCCCCTCCGACTCGGGGGGCAGCGACATGGACCTGGACTCCAGGGACAGCAGGCTCTTCGCCAGGGGTGAGCGCGGCCGGAACCCGGGGCTGCCCGACCCCCGCCCCCCCGCCCCCGCCTCCCTCCTGACCCGCCGCCCCTTCCCCCAGCCGACCTCCCCGACTACAAGCAGGGGGACCCCAAGCACGGGAAGCGGAAGCGGGGCCGGCCCCGCAAGCTGCGCCAGGAGCCCCGGGACAGCACCGACGGGCGCAAGAGCAAGCACGGTGCGCGCGGCGCCGAGCGGGCGCGGGCGGGACGGGGCGCGGGGGCTCGGGGCGCGGGCGGGACGGGGCGCGGGGGACTCGGGGCGCGGGCGGGGCGCGGGGGGCTCGGGGAGCGGGCGGGACAGGGCGCGGGCGGGACGGGGCTCGGGGGGCTCGGGGCGCGGGCGGGACGGGGCGCGGGGAGCTCGGGGAGCGGGCGGGACGGGGCGCGGGGGGCTCGGGGAGCGGGCGGGACGGGGCGCGGGGAGCTCGGGGAGCGGGCGGGACGGGGCGCGGGGAGCTCGGGGAGCGGGCGGGACGGGGCGCGGGGGGCTCGGGGAGCGGGCGGGACGGGGCGCGGGGGGCTCGGGGAGCGGGCGGGACGGGGCGCGGGGAGCTCGGGGAGCGGGCGGGACGGGGCGCGGGGGGCTCGGGGAGCGGGCGGGACGGGGCGCGGGGGGCTCGGGGAGCGGGCGGGACGGGGCGCGGGGGGCTCGGGGAGCGGGCGGGACGGGGCGCGGGGGGCTCGGGGAGCGGGCGGGACGGGGCGCGGGGGGCTCGGGGAGCGGGCGGGACAGGGCGCGGGCGGGACGGGGCGCGGGGGGCTCGGGGCGCGGGCGGGACGGTGCGCGGGGGGGCTCGGGGCGCGGGCGGGGGGCGCGGGCGGGAGGGGGTGCGTGGGGCTCGGGGAGCGGGCGGGACAGGGTGCGGGGGGCTCGGGCCGCGGGGACACCAATGGCAGGGCCGGGCCTGGTGCCCGGGAGGAGGGAAACATGCCGGGAGGACGGCCCGGCCACGCCCGGTGCCCCCGCCCCAGCTCCGGGCGGCCTCAGGGGACCCTGGGTCACTCCGTCCGCGTCCGTGGGGGGCTGTTCCCGCCGCCTTCCTTTCTGGGGTCCCTGAGCTGCTGACCGTCAGCTGTCGGGGGCCACGTGTGTCGGCCCCTCTTGTATCTAGAACTGGAGCGGGAACAACCCTGTCCGAGGGGTCGGGGGGCTGGTCACGGGGGGCCTGTGCGGGTCGCCGGCCCGGCAGGCGGGTCGGGGGGATGGGGGGGATTGGGGGGATCAGGGAGGCAGGGTCCCCCGGGTCCAGCAGGCGGGTGAGATCAGGGGGGGTCGGTGGGGGACATGTGCAGGTCGTGGGTCCAGTAGGGGGGATTGGGGGGATCAGGGGGGGACTGGGGGATCGGGGGGGGGATCAGGGGGGGATAAGGGGATCGGGGGGGTGTTGGGGGATCGGGGGGGGTTGGGGGGATCAGGGGGGGTTGGGGGGTCGGGGGGATCAGGGGGGCATTGGGGGGATCAGGGGGATCTGGGGGGGACTGGGCGGATCGGGGGGGGGACTGGGGGATCGGGGGGTGTTGGGGGGGGTGTTGGGGGATCGGGGGGGGTTGGGGGGGGTGGGTTGGGGGATCGGGGGGGGGGTTGGGGGATCGGGGGGGGGTTGGGGGGATTGGGGGGGATTGGGGGATGGGGGGGGTTGGGGGATGGGGGGGATTGGGGCATCAGGGGGAGGCGGCCCCCCCCCCACCGCCATGCTGACGCCGTGGCCCCGCAGCGCCCCGGGGCACCCACCTGTGGGAGTTTATCCGGGACATCCTGCTGCACCCCGAGCTGCACGACGGGCTGATGCGCTGGGAGGACCGGCGCGAAGGCGTCTTCAAGTTCCTGCGCTCGGAGGCCGTGGCCCAGCTCTGGGGCCAGAAGAAGAAGAATAGCAGCATGACCTACGAGAAGCTCAGCCGCGCCATGAGGTGGGCGCCGGCACCGCGGGGCAGGGAGGCACGGCGGGGGGGGGGGATGGTGGGCACCGCGGGGGGATGGGGGCACCGTGGGGGGACGGGGCGCAGCGGGGGGGGCGGGGGCACAGCGGGGGGATGGGGGGCACTGTGGGAGGGACGGGGGCACCACGGAAGGTCAGGGGGCACAGCGGGGGGGGGACGGAGGCACAGCGGGGGGGGGGACGGGGACAGGGACCCTGGGCCGGAATCCAGCCCCGACCTCCCGGTTCTTCGTCGATGCTCAGCCCCGGAGCGCCCCCAGCTGGGCCTCCGTGGCCATTGCTCCACCCGCCCCCCACCCGTGCCCAGTTAGCGGCCGCGGTGCTGGTCTGTGGGCCTGAGTGCGGGCTCCTGGCCAGCCCCAGGCACGGCCGTTCTAAGCTCCGGCCGGGGGCCGGGCTCTCGGGGCGCCCCCGGCCCGGCCCCCCTGACCCTCGCGCCCGCGCCCGCGCCCGCCCAGGTACTACTACAAACGGGAGATCCTGGAGCGGGTGGACGGCCGGCGGCTGGTCTACAAGTTCGGCAAGAACTCAAGCGGCTGGAGGGAGGAGGAGGAGGAGGCCGGGAGCCGGCACTGAGGGTCCGAGCAGACCGAGCCTGACGCGGGACGCGGACCGCGGCCGCGGCCCCGACCGACCGGCCGGCCGGCCGGCGGGAGGACCGTGCAGAGGAGGCAGAGGCCCGGGTCTCCCCGCCGACGCCGACGCCGACGCCGACGCCATCTCGTGGAATGACAAGCCCCGGGAGTGACGGGATTTGCCCTCACTGACCTCGGTGCACGTGTGGCTCCGCCCGGACCAGGCCCCGAGGCGCCCGGACGGGTGCGGGACGGAGGCGGGGAGGCCCAGGGCGCCGGCCAGCCCCTCGCCCAGTGTGTGGCTCCGCGGGCGGGGGTCAGCACGCCCTATTTATGTGCCTTCGATGCCAGCTGTACATAGAGATGTATTTTTTCTAAGACGTCGTCCCCCTGACTGACCGCTCTCGGCCCCGGGGGGCGGGGGAGCCGGACGCTCAGGACGGTCCGGCTCCTGAGCCGGGGGGCTCAGACACCCCCAATAAAGTGCCCTCTGGGCTTTTTGTAGCCGCTGTCTCACTCCCTGTGCGCGATGCGGACGGGGACACGGGCGTGGTGGGCGGAGGAGGGGGGCAGAGGCAGGCGTGGGGGGTGGGGGTGTCCCAGTCCAGGGGGACGTGCCGGCGGGGGCGGGGGGGCGGAGGGAAGGAAAGAGGACCCCGTGCAGGGGGACGAGGTCGAGCTGGGCCTGGTGCTGCCGGGACACGGTGGGCCCCTTCGGGCGCCGGGAGGCGGGTTCAGCAGACGCGGTAGGAGTTCGTGAGGAGGAGGCGGGTCTGCATTCCCATCACGCTGCCGGCCGCTGGCCCTCCCGCTCCTCATGGGCTCGGGGACAGGCTCACGGAGACGTGATCTGAGGAGCGGGGACAGCCGCTGGGAATCCCAGGTGCTGCTGGGCCCATTTCACAGATGCGGAGGGTGAGGCTCTGTGCTCCGGGGACGGCCGCGGGGCTGGGCCTCTGACCTCGTGCTCAGCAGGTCCCTGGCTGTTGCGTCTGCACAGGGACGGCGCCTGGGGCTGCCCACAGGCTGGTCCCCGGCACGTAGCTCCCCTGGGAAGGCCCCTGAGGAGGAGGAGGAGGAGGAGGAGGAGGAGGGGGCGGATTCCAGGGCCGCTGTCAGCCGGTCGGATGCCTGCGAGGCTGTTTTGTCTTGGAAACAGGATTGGCCGGAGGGATGTGGGGCAGGAAGGCCAGGCTGGAGGGGAAGGTGCGGGTGGGTGTGCGTGTGCGTGTGCGTGTGTGTGTGCGTGGGGAGTGTGTTCCAGTGTGTGCGTGTGTGTGGAGGGCAGGGGGGCCTGGCTAGGCCTATGGCAGTGGTCAGCAAACTCATCAGCCAACAGAGCCAAATACCAGCAGCACCACGATTGAAATTTCTTTGGAGAGCCATTTTATCTTATAGATATTTTATTGATTTTTTTTTTCTTTTTTCAGAGAGGAAGAGAGAGGGATAGAGAGTTAGAAACATCGGTGAGAGAGAAACATCAACCAGCTGCCTCCTGCACCCCCCCCCCCCCACTGGGGATGTGTCCACAAACAAGGCGCATGCCCTTGATGGGAATCGAACCCGGGACCCATCAGTCTGCAGGCCGGCACTCTATCCACTGAGCCACACCGGTTTCGGCGAGAGTCACATTTTTTTTTTTTTTAAACGTCTTCTAACGCCATTTCTTCGACATAGACTCGCCAGGGCCGTGGTATTCTGTGGAAGAGCCACACTCACTCAAGGGGCCGAAGACCCGCCGACCACCGGCTGTGGAAATAGGACGGGGGGAAGGGAAGCGGGGTGGGGGGGCTGGACAGAGGGCGGCTGTGTGAACCCCAGGACCCCCTGCAGCCCTCAGAGGGCATGTGAGGCCTCTGAGTGTGCAACCGACTCCCGAGGTGATGGCTTTGGCCCGGGCTCCGGGGACTCCTCAGCAGCGCCCCCCGGGGGCTGGCACCGAGCTCCTGTCTGCACCCACCTCACCCTGGGGTCACCCTTGTGGCCCAGACAGACAGGAGGACGCCCCGGGGACGCGGGCACAGGCACCCGCCCGCCTCCAGCCCCCCCTGCACCCGGGGCGAACGGTGCGCGGGAAATGGGCCGAGGGAGGCCCCGCCCGGCTCCACGCCGACCTTCGACCCCTTTCGGTTTACGAGGTGCTTTCCTCGCCCCAATATCACGGGCGTCCTGCACCCCAGCCCGGAGGAGACGGGCAGGCCCAGGTCACGGCAGGTGAGGGGACCGGAGCCCCGGAGCCGGCTGCCGCCTGCAGCGGGGGGGGGGGGGGGGGGGGGGCAGGGGCAGTGCCCACACCCCCCCCGCCCCCCTCGCTCTGGCCCCCGGAGGGCAGGGGGTCCCCAGCTCCCCCAGAGGCACATGTTTCTTCTCTTCAGTCCTCCCCCAGAGGGTATCTTCCCACTGATTTTTTTTTTTATTTATTTTAAAAAATAATATATATATTTTATTTATTTTTTTTTTTTTTTTTTTACAGAGAGGAAGGGAGAGGGATAGACAGAAACATCCATGAGAGAGAAACATCGACCAGCTGCCTCCTGCACGCCCCCCACTGGGGATGTGCCTGCCACCAAGGTACTGTACATGCCCTTGACCGGAATCGAACCCGGGACCCTTCAGTCCGCAGGCCGACGCTCTATCCACTGAGCCACACCAGGAAAGGCTCCCATTCGTTTTTAGAGAGAGAGAGTGGGGGAGAGAGAAGCATCACCGATGTGAGAGACATCCATTGATAGGCTGCCCCATGCTCACGCTCGGACCAGGGCCCCAGGCCCAGACCAGGGCGGAGCCCAGCCCGGGACCCTTTGGGCTGCAGGCCAGGGCTCTGTCCACTGGGCCACACCGGCCGGGGTGGGACCTGTTTCTTAAGATGCCTCTGCCCTCTCGTCCCCCTCGCCCTGCAGAGCCGGGCAGCACCCTCCCCCTCTGGCCCAGCTCAGCAGGCTCTGCAGGCCCCTCTCCCGGGTGTGGCCGGGCTGTTTCGGTCCCGCCCCAGCAGCTGGTCAGCTCTTATCTGCTCCGGTGAGATCTGGTGCTGCCGGGCAGGTCGCCCGGAGGTCACCGCTCCGCCCTTGGGCGTGGCTGCCCGGGGGCCTCCTCCGGGGAGGATTCCCGGATTCTCTCTCCACCCAGCTCGGCGGAACCAGCCTGACCTGCTCGTGGCCGGTGGGTCCTTCTGGGCTGGGTTCTGAGGGTTCGTGTCAGTCTGCGTCCATCCCGGTCACGTGTGTCCACGCCCCTCCCGCCCCGTCGGCAGCACCTGCCTGGGCCAGGACCGGCTCACGTCCCTCAGCCCCCAGAGCCGGTGCCGGCAGAGACTCAGACAGCCCGTGGCTCTCTGCCCGCCCCCCCAGTGCACTCACACATGCACATGCACAGTCACACACATGACAGTTATAACACGGGCACACACCAGTCCCATCCCCAGCCATACACAGTCGCACATAGTAGTGCACACACGTGCACACTCACACGTAATTATAGTGTGTGCACACACCAGTGCACACGCATGCACACTCGCGCACGCACACTCACACTATAGTTCTAGCATGTGCGTGCACCAGTCACATTCCCAGCCATGCACACTCACACACGTGTGCACACAAATGCACACTCACACACATGCACACTCACACACATACACGTTATAGCGTGTGCACACACCAGTCGCACTCACAGCTGTGCACAGTCGCACACACGTGTGCACATACATGCACACTCCCTCCAGCCCGGCCCAGCCTCGGGGGACAAGGCCACGGAGGAGGGGGGGCCAGGTTTTGAAATCTCTGCCGGGTCTGAGGCGTCTCTGGAGGAACCGGAGGCCGTGGCGGGTCTCCCCGGCCTGGGCCCCGGGCAGCCCCGGCCCCGGGGCAGCTGCGAGGGTTACCGCCTGCGGAGGCCGCCCTGGCCCGCAGCCTGGTCCGTCTGGGTCCCGCTCGGCCTGGCAGCGCCCGCCCACCACGCACCAGCTCTTCCTGTGTGTCTTCCCCGAGCCGGTCTCTGCAGGGAGAACAGACCCTCAACTAGTCCTTCACCATCGAACCCAGGGCCGGGCGGCTCAGGCTCCCAGGCCCAGGCACACAAGCCCATTTTACAGACGGGCAGACCGAGGCTCAGAGAGGGGAGGGGACTTGTTCATCATCACACAGCAGCTCCCCCCTCCCCCCAATTAATTAAAAAAAAAAAAAAATATATATATATATATATATATATATATATATATATATATATATATAGCTGAGACCTGTGTGGCTCAGTGGATAGAGCGTCAACCTGCAGACGGAAGGGTCCCGGGTTCGATTCCGGTCAAGGGCATGGACCTTGGTTGCGGGCACATCCTCGGTGGGGGGCGTGCAGGAGGCAGCTGATGGGTGTTTCTCTCTCATCGATGTTTCTAACTCTGTCCCTCTCCCTTCCTCTCTGTGAAAAATCAATTAAAAATATATATATATTTTAAAAATCACCTGTTAGGAGTGATCATGCACCCCCTTCTCCCTGCCTCCCCCTCCTCTCTTCTCCTCTTCTGTTTCCCCCTCCCCCCTCCCCTCCCTGCCCTCCCCCTCCTGCCCCTGCTACGTGCGGGGCCGGGCCAGGGCGGCAGCCGCAATTAGCCCAGCTCAGCGCCCGTTACTGGAACCTTCCCATCCACTCTGGCGCGGGTCCAAGCGGCCACGCCCAGGCCCCTCGTGACTGACTCAGCCTCACCTGCCGGCCCCACACCTGCCAGCCGCCGGGCCAGGGACAGTCCCCATCCTTTGTGCTCCCTCCTCCTCCCCGGTGCCTGCAAGGCATGCTGGGATGCGGCGCCCTGGCCTCAGGGGCCCAGAGGGGTGCTGGCAAGGCATGCTGGGATGCGGCGCCCTGGCCTCAGGGGCCCGGAGGGACGGTGGGTGCTGGCTGGCTGGGGAGGGCTGGGTCTGAGGAACGGGGCACCCCGAAGGGGACCTGTTTGAGATGTGAGCCGATGCCGAGCCTGGAATAATCTGGCCACTCAGTGTGTGCGAGTGTGTGTGTGTGTGTGTGTGTGTGTGTATTTTAATATATTTTATTGAGTTTTTACAGAGAGGAAGAGAGAGGGATAGAGAGTTAGAAACATCGATGAGAGAGAATCATCGATCAGCTGCCTCCTGCACTCCCCCCACTGGGGATGTGCCCGCCACCAAGGTCCATGCCCTTGACCGGAATCGAACCCAGGACCCTTCAGTGCGCAGGCTGATGCTCTATCCACTGAGCCAAACCTGTTTCGGCTATCTATATCTATATATCTATATCTATATCTATATCTATATCTATATCTATATCTATATCATCTATATCATCTATATCTATATCTATATCTATATATAATATATCAGAGGCCCGGTGCATGAATCCGTGCATGGGTGGGGTCCGGCCAGCCTGGCCAGGGGGAGGGGACGTGGGCGGTCGGCCGGCCTGCCTGCTGGTCGCACTCCTGGTTGGGGGACCATTTGCATAGGAGCCTTTTATTCTACAGGATGGACACGGAG